AGGAGCAACACGCCGGCATTAACCTAAATGAAGCCAACTCTGGCATACATAATTCACAGTCATTTGTGACCCTATTTCCTCTCTTTCCCCCCTGGGTATGTCATCAATCAATGAAGCACCTTCACGGGCTGGGTGTCATCAATGACGTTCTCCAATGAAGGATTTTTGAGGGCAGAAGATCTGGTAGCCTAGCTACAATCTTTGTAAGATAAGCATGGAATGTACTTCTGGTTTTAAACTGCCACACTGCTCCTTCAGATCCTCCGCTCTCCTTCTTATGGCAACTTGGAAACAGGCATAGGGGTGTTTTATGTGTTGATAGCTATCATGTCTCCCCTAGTTCTTCTTTTCATTAGACTAAACATACCCAATTCCTGTAACCATTTTTCATACGTATAATCCTGTGTCCATTTCTGGTTATCACAGAATAATAGAATAACAGTGTTAGAAGAGACCTTAGAGGTCTTCTAGTCCAACCCCCTGGTCAAGCAGGAGACCCTATAAGCTTTTCAGACAAAAGGCTGTCCAGGATCTTCTTAAAAGCTTTCAGTGATGGAGCATCCAGAACTTCTGGAGACAAACAGTCCCACTGATCGATTGAGCCAGCCCAGGATTTTGAAATATGGCCTTGATCTGAAGTCAATCAATCTAGCTTTCTCTAGACGGGGCGGTCCGTTCTAGGCACCACCAAGTCTGATTTAGCCCAGATTTCCTGTCCCTTCAGGGGAGCATTATTTTGAGAAATGTGTGGTGGCCCTCCCACTTGATAACGGAGCTAATGGAGGGCTGATTTTTTATACCTTTGAGTTTCTGCAAGAGATCGTGAACTGTTTGGGATGCAGGTCAGCTTCTCATTCAACTCTCTCCGGGGGCCACAAAAGGCACCTTTGTCCTTCTAAACGGAACAGTTAAGACCTCAGATAAAAGGTATCTGAGATAAAACTCGGGAAAGCTTCCGCCTTTGCATAAGAAAGGGGATTAGCTGTCCAGACGAAAGCCACCCCAAAGCTCATTAGCTCCCTTCCCAGATTAAACCCAGAGAAAACACCTAATCTCTTTCCTGTAAAATCGCATTAGGTTGAGGTAGTCCTTGACTTACATCCGCCAGATTTTGCCCTGTTTCTCTCCCCGGACCCCACCCAAACCAGTAAAACCCAACCCAAAGGGCAAAGAATTGTATCTGTGAAGACCAAGGTGGTCTTTTAGAAGTATGTTGCAAACCACTGAGTGTAGTGCAAGCCGCTATGTTGGCCAAAGCATCAATGCTTCTCCTGAGCATATCTAATAACAGGAATAATAGAATTGGAAGGTATCTTGGAAGTCATCTAGTAGTCGGATCTCCACCCCGCTCCACCTACTCAAAGCAGGAGACCTTGAACCATTTCTGACAGGTGGCAATCCAGTCTCTTCTTGAAAGCCTCCAGTGATGAAACTCCCACAACTTCTGAAGGCAACTTCTGTTTGATTGAATATAGATTAACAGAGTTGGAAGGGACCTTGGAAGTCATCTAGTCCACCTCCCCACCCAAGCAGGAGACCCTACACCATTCCTGACAAATGGCAGTGCAAGCTTTTTTTTTTTAAAGACTCCAAGGATTAAGCTCCCTCAACCTCTAAAGGCAACTTCTATACAATGGGTTGATTGTTCTCACTATCAGAAATTTCCAGGTTGGATCTCTCCTTGTTCAGTTTCCATCCATTATTCCTTGTCTGGCCTTCAAAGGTGCTTTGGAAAATAGCTTGACCCCCTTCCTCCTCTCTGTGGGAGCCCCTCAAATAATGGAAGATGCTCTCCTGTCTCCTCTGGTCCTTCTCTTCCCTAGACGAGCCAGGCCCAGTTCCTGCAACCGTGAGTTTGAGTCTCCAATCCCCTCATCATCCTGGTTACTCTTCTCTGCACTCTTTCCAGAATCTCAACACCTTTTTTTTTTTATAGTGGGGTGACATGATAACCGTGTTGGAATATTGGAAGAGTGCTATCATATCTCCGCTGCTCCTCATCTTCACTCAACTAGCCAGGCCCAGTTCCTGCAACCGTTCTTCATATCTTTTAGCCTCCAGTCCCCTCATCATCCTGGTTGCTCTTCTCTGCACTCTTTCTAGAGCTCAACATCTTTTTTATAGTGTGGTGACCAAAACTGGATGCAGGACTCTAGGCGTTGTCTTACTATGGCTTTATAGAGTGGTATTAATATCTCCCTTGATCTCGATTATATCCCTCTGTTAATGCAGCTTAGGATTGCGTTGGCTTTTTTGGCTGCCACTGCACACTTCTGGCTCCTATTTAGCTGGTTGTCCACTAAGACTCTTACTTGAGCAGAGATTTACAGATTAATAGAGTTGGGAGAGACCTTGTAGGTCAACTAGTCCAATCCCTCCCACTCGAGCAGGAGACCCTACACCATTTCTGACAGATGGGAGCCCAGTCTCTTCTGGAAAGCCTCAAGTGATGAAGCTCCCACAACTTCTGAAGGCAACTTTCATGTTCCGTGGGTTGGTTGTTCTCCCTGTCAAGAAATTCCTCCTTATTTCCAGGTTGAATCTCTCCTTGTTCGGTTTCCATCCATTGTTCCTTGTCTGGCCTTCAAAGGTGCTTTGGAGAATAGCTTGACCCCCTTCCTCCTGTCTGGGGCAGCCCCTCAAATATTGGAAGATGCTCTCCTGTCTCCCCTGGTCCTTCTCTTCCCTAGACTAGCCGGGCCCAGTTCCTGCAACCATTCATCATATATTTGATCTTCCAGTCCCCTATTTAAAGTACTTGGTATGAGACAGAAAACCACAGACATCCTTCCACATTGTAAATACCTTTATTGGGCAAGCAAATCATTAATTCTCAGAAAGGACAGTAGATCTCTACAATTTTAGCCGTACGGTTGTCCATGGCAGACCAATGAAAGTGGAATCTGAATTGGGCTGAAGCAACTGAGGGAGAAATTAGGATAGGTTGAGATTCCCTTGCTTTGAGAATAGACAGGAAGTTGAGGGAAGCGAGCTCGTTCTTCTGACTTAGTGTCTTCTTCCTTCGGGGTCTTATTTAAGGGTCTTATTGATCACCAGCGTCTCCTGGAAAGCAGAAAAGAGGCGGTCAACTCAGAAGCGGTCAAAGAGATCTAAAGTACGGATTCAGGGAGGGCAGCGGCTTCTAGCTATGTGGGCAGCTGTCATGGGATTAATATGAACTCCAGGACTTCAAGTAGGGAGGAATCCTATTGTCTACATCCATGACTTCATTCTAGAATATTAGATTGACCACGGGGTGAAGGGTGGTCTAGCATGGGCCTTGATCTGAGTCAAATAATGCTCTTTCTTTCTTTCTTTCTTTCTTTCTTTCTTTCTTTCTTTCTTTCT